CTGTCAATAGCAGGTTCATGCCACATGYTTTTATTGAGCATAAACTGTATCAATCCCCTGGGGGTTGATGGGTGAACCCTCAGATGCAGCCCCAACCTTCAAGTCGCTGTAGGCAGTGGGGCTCAGACACAAGGGGATGGACAGAGCGGGGAGACGGGGATCCCTGGTAGGTCCCCAGGATGCTGAGGAGAGGTTTCAGGAAGGGTCCTGGAGCAGCCAGCCTCAGCTTGGCCCTCCCACTCCTGCCCATGGGGGCTGTCTAGGGGCTCAGGCCTCTCCTGATTGATCTTATGAACCTGTCGAGACCATTTGTTCTGCAGACACAGACCTGAAATACTATTTGCTGTAGAGAGAGGATACTGGGTTCCATCGGGCGGCGCTGGGCTCACATTCAGTTACTGATTGATCTGTGTTGCAGGAAACCAGGACCAGAGAAGGCAACGTGCCCCTGGCTGCCAGCCAAGCCGGCCTGGGCGCCTCTGCTTTGCCAGGTGTGTCCTGTCCTTCTTCACTGGCCAAGCCCCTCTGCTCTTGCGACAGGAGGAAGCGAGTGTACAGTTGTCGGTATGTGTGGCATGTTCCTTTTCTCTGAGGAAAGCTACCCTGGGGCAAGGGGATTAGCTACAACTCGGCCACTGCTTCCCCTCAGAAATCACAGCCTCTTGACTTTCAAGATGAAGCTTAGAAACTTGTCTTGTGTTCGTTTTTTCCAAAACCAAGCCCAGAGATAGACAGGGACCTGCCCAGGGTCATACAGCAGGCCCAGGACAAAGCTTCTAGTGWAGCTAGTTTCACCTTCCACAGTGGCCTGTGTGGAGCCACAGCACTAACTGCTGCCCCAGCTTGGAACTTCTCCTCCTCTGCCTCCCTCCTGCTGCACGCACCTGGGGGATTCCTTTGGGTGACAGTACATGAGCTCTTTGAGGAAGAACAGTGAGAATTTCTTAAAAAGAGAACCAGGTTTAGGGATCTAGAGACAAATAGCCTCCACAAGAGACAGAAGGCCTCCTGGGGCCGAGGGGACTATGGGATGTCACTCACAACAGAGAAGACAGCCCAGCAAGTTCTGGAAACTCTGCAAACCAGGGTTTGAGGAGCAGCAACTTCGGAATGTGACTCACCCCAGTGCCTTCCAGGCACGAGACCCGCCCCGAGCCATCTCCCCTGGCCTCCTTGGGCTTCTAGGGGCAGGTGGAAGCCCTGGACACTAAGGTTCAAAGTTCTCAACTTTTTCCAAGCCCTCAAAGTCTACTGCAAACACACAAAGTGGCCCGTCTGGGAGGCTCCTTGGGCAGCCAGAGCCTGGGAGGGGACACCAACACCGAGCCATGGGCTTCTTCCTGGGCTGGGACACTTGGCTGCTCCTGTTTCTCCCAGCTCAGCTACTGTCCTCCTAATGTCCCTGACTGGGGCTGCAGTGGCCCAGTCTCTGAAGCCCAGGTCGGACACATCTTCCCAGCTGCGATGGAAGCGTTGCGTGGACACCGTATTTGTCTCTGATCTCCCCTGACCTGGCCAGGTGGCTGAAGAATGGGTCCCCAGGGAGAAGCGGGTTACCGCCCCCAAGAGGCCACATCGGTACTGCAGTTCAGAGCTCAGCCTCCTGGGGCGGAGGAWGGACAGGGAGGAGACAYGTCTCCTGGTAGCAGCCCCATTCCCCAGGAGCAAAGAGGAGAAAGGAGGAGTGTGGACCTCAGGAAGATTCAACCCCCACTACGTGGGTACCCCCCCCAACTGTCCAGGGTGCCCCCTCCTTTAACTAAAGTAGCCAGGGAGCTACTCAAGGCCAGTTCTTTGGGGCACCCTTCCTCGACCTGGGAGAGCTCAAGATTGCTGCTGGGCAGGGGAAGGTCTCCTTCAAGGTCCCAAGGCCTTTAGAAAAGTTAGAGGCTCATGCCGGTAGCACCTCACTCTGGACAGAATACCAGCCCCAGCTCCAGCCTCTGCCTGGCTCCTCTGATGAGCAAACCCAGTCCAGGAAAGAGAGGGCTCTGCCCAGGCCTCCCAGCCAAGGATGTCATCCCAGTGCGGGCGTTTTGTCCTCACTGCGAGTCCCCCCGTCTGTGGGATGGACAGAGGCTGGGTGAGAGTGGGCTGTGGATTATTTTTAAATCACTTCAATGTTTTATGAATTTAAAAAGCAAAAGCATCCTTCTGAGTGAATAGATGGAAGGGCCAATAACACTTCTGGAAATTTCAGCTACTATGAATTGGATCCAAAATTTTTCATTCATTCGCGGTTTGTGGTTTGAGCCTGGGACAGGGCTAATCCTTTGCCCACCCAGGAYTTTGTGTCCAGTTTTTGCTGAGAGTGTTGTAAGGAAGGCAGGCCAGGCAAAGGCCCTGTGGCCCCACTGGCCAAGGCCAGCATTTTTGGACCTTTGCTGTCCTGAGAAGCACTCYCTTGGGGGAGCTGGGATGACACAGATGGGGCAAGGCTGAGCTTTGTGCCCCTCAACAGAAAGCTCCCCTCCCCCACCCAGCCTGCCCACCTTGGCTTTCACYTTGATTGGCCTTGACTTTCAACTCCACATTGACGTCACCTGGGAAGGTTTGAAAACCATGCTGCCCCGTGGATCCCATCAGAATCCACAGCTGGGGCTGCACCCGGCAACCCACCTCCTCTCCCCCCACCTCACAAGTGTCCCTGTTTGGTGTGTCCCTACCAGGGTCCTGATCAAGATGTTGACTCAAACTATGGGGTTCGAAGTTTCATGGCTGCCCTAGGCTTTGAGGAAATTGTAGATCATATATGGCTTCTGCTCTGGAAGGAGTGGGGCTCAAGACCCCGCAGCCAAGAATGACTATACAGCAGGGCAAGTACTGTCCCTGGGACGGGAAGTAGGCATGGGGTATACAGACCGAATGAAAAGAGCTCAGGGCTTTTCCAGGAAACCGGGGTGCATGGCAGACCATTCGGGTGCCCCCTCCTCCCTGGCAAAGACCCTTGGARAGACTGTTTTGCAAAAAAGCCATTGGAGGGGATTCGGAGTAGGGCACTGGTYCCCTCTGGTGGTGATAGTGGGAATTGCACCCCAGACAGGGGCTGTGTCCCAGCTGTTTGATGGACAGTAATTCATTCTTGCTTCCTGACTTGGTTGTTCTTGTGACTCACTACAGGTTTGAATTGTGGAAAGTTCCAAAATAAAGTGAAAGTTCAGTGACTACAGATCATGTGACCTTCATGGAGAGGGAAGGGAAATGTTCCCAAGAGTCCTGGCCAGAGAGCAGGTCACAGACTCAGAATGTCCCCTGGGGCAGTGGTTGTCAGCCCTGGCTTCTCCTCAGGGCCACTAGGGAGCTTGCTAGGCCTCAGACTACGGGCCCACCCCAGGCTTCATATCCAGCAGGCCTCGAGGGGATCCTGGGCATCTGGTGGTTCAAAGGAGAGGRAGGGAGGCCTCAAGTCAGGCTGATCAGGAAGTGACCACCCAGGACCATTTCCCTCCAGAGTGGCTGGGATTCCTTTTCAGTGTTAAAGGCTTACATAGAATGTTCTAGAAATGACTCCTCTCCATGGCTCTGCTCTCTGGGTGGGTCCAGGCCTGGAATACCTTCTCTTTCCACTTGCCTTTGGCTATATGTGGGAGCTTTGGGAGCCCACTTCCTCCTGAAAGCCTTCTTAACTGGACCTGCTGCATCTCCTACCCTCACACAGGTGCTTATGTGTGGCCCTGTCTCCTGCATGGTAATACCGTATTTTATTTAATGATGTGACTGTCACATTTTGTCATCAGTAAGCCAACATCAGAGACCTTGGTGCTGAGATGAGTRGCCAGGCTCTTCCCTTCATGGCTCCTGTTCCCCTCTGGAGACCCCCCACTCACCATCCAGGCCTCTCCCCCCCCATAGCTCTTCAAGTGCACAGGTGGGTGGTGGGGAGCCTTCCAAACCTGGGTGTCAGTGTGGCCGGAAGAGTCAYTCTGGACAAAGTCACCGTCTCTCCTGGGGCCTCAGTGTCCTGTCCTGTAAATGAGGGTGTGTACATTTCGCTCTCTAAGGAGCAAGCCTTCTRTGATTCCAGGAGGGCTGGTGGTCTTCAGGGCCTGGGAGCACTGGATTAGGACAAAGTTTAATTCCCAAGTTYAGTAGTGGTCACCCTGCCCCTGGTCCCAAGAATAGCTTGTTCCATTTGGAGCCCACCATGTYGCTGTCCTTGGTGCTGCTGGTTCTGCCAATGCCCCCCACCCCAGGCCCCCTAGGATGCTGGCAGATCCAGATGATGAATCAGACACCAAGGTGCCCTGATCTCACCATCCTTCCTGTATGTGGAGGGAGGGAGGGAGGGAGGGAGGGGGAGCTGGGCTCTGTCCTGAATGCAGACTCCCAGAAGGGGGCGCCCTGAACAGCCTGGGTGCAGCTCTGGGGATGTGGGCACAGGTAGGTGAGGTTGTCTGACACCTTACAGGCTGAGTCTGCCCTGAGTGGGTCCCTGAACCAACAGGGGCTGGAGCAAGCAGTTGCAATGGGCTTACCCTGGCTGTCCACCCAGCCCCGGGCCCTGGATTGACTGAGCCAGCACCCACACAGCTGGTGGGAGTGGGTGCAGCTGGGGTCTCCTGGCCCCACGAGCACCAGGGTTGGTGGGGGGAGAAGGGAGAGTGCTGATGCCCAAGGTCAGGGGGAGCAGAGCTGCCTGCCTGGCACAGTGGTGCACTTGGGGGAAGGGCRGAGCACATGAATGTGGCACAAACAGCCCCAGCCTGGGCAGCCTGGGGCATCTCCATAGTAACTCCCACGCAGAAGCTTCCAGGCTTCCAAGAGCAGCACCCCGTGTCGGGCAGAGGCCTTAGCAGAACCCAGCAGACCCAGAGACTTTGAACCTATGGACTTTCTGACTTCATCAGGCATTCAGGAGCTAGACTGAGGCTTCTGTCCCTAGGGATCCTGCTGGTCAGGGGCCAGCGGAGAGACGCCTGTGGAGGACAACACTCAACTTGCTTTTGCAGGCAGGTGGGTGGCGGCAAGAGTCATTGAAAACCAAACCAAGACCAGGCTGAATTTGTACTCCATCTGGGAACAGGGGGCTATGGTAGTTATGGGATGGAGGGGCGGGGGGAGGTGAGGGAAGAGGCGTGGGGGCAGCAGGAGGCAGGAGGCGGTGACACAGTCATCCATGCAGGAATCACACTGAGCCTGGCGCTTCCTCCAGCCTGTGAGCCRGCAGTGCAGGGACAAAGGTCAACAGCCCAGGGAAGATGGGGCATCCTTGGCCTCCTAGCCAGCCCCCTGGCCGTGATGGGCACAGCAGACCCTGCAAGGACACAGCAGCATTCAGGCAGGGAGGACGGTGGCGGAGGTCGGGAGTCTTGTTTCCTCCTTGTCTGACTCAATGCTCTGTGGGGCCCCTCTGCAGTCTCTGCTTGTCACCTACTTCACGCCAGGCGGGTGGCGATCAAAAACAGGTGATGGAGGCAGCCCACCTGGCTGCTCGGATGACCCCGAGATTCTTCCTGGGTTGTTGCGCCTGGCCCTGCCCTCCTCCCTCTGACCCCTCCCTGGCCACACCCTGCCTGCCCCTCCTGACCCTTGCAGACAGACGTACAGACATACCTCTCGCTACAGCATGTCCTCACTGACTTGCCTGGGGTGGGAGGAACAAAGACTCGGTCAGTGGGAGGTCGCTGAGCTCCAGACCCCCTCTCAAGACCTCAGAGACGGTTGTCCCTTCTTCCCTGGCTCGCCCCCCTCTGGGTTTCCCCAGGCATCACTCACCGAGGCTTCCTGTTGCCCCCACAGCGGAATCTTTTGCCTTGAAAAGAGAAAGGAGGATCTGTATTCGTTGACCTCTCCCTTCCCAAGGAGACCCTGGAAGACTTGGTTCTTCCAGTCCCTCCTCTCCCCATCCTGCCAGCATGTCCACAGTGTGGGGCTGGAAGGCCACATTTGACTGTCTCTCTTTACAGGGGGCTGGACAATAAGCATTCAAGAGCCCCAGCCAGCCAGCCAATCAACAAATATTCAGGCAGCCCATCTGTACTGGACTGTGAGCCGTCGAGCATGGCCCCTGAGACTGRGCCTTGTGGTGCTCCCAGCTCAATGCTGGGCACATAGTAGCTGCTCAGTACGTGCTTGGAGAAGGATGCCTGTAAACCCAAAGCTGAGGTCCCTGCACAGGTCCATCGACCTCCGGCACCTGTGTGCTCAGCCACTACACAGTGCCACCCTGGAGGAGCTCCCATGGGGCACAGTGGGRAGACCAGCTATTCCTGCAGACTAAGTCCTGTAGATGCAGTGACAGTGAGTGTGACTGTGCCAGAATTCTAGAACACAGAGGTGTGTCTGCTACACAAGGGGTCTCCTTTTCACTGATTATGCGACTGATGTTTTTCTTTTGGTTGCAAAACAGGTCAACAAGCATTTATTAAGCACCTGCTGGGGATGGGAGAAATCCAGGCCTTTCTCACCTAGAATGCTCCATGTCCACACTGGACCCTTCTTGATGCCATGTCTTTAGTGTCAGCCCTAATCTAGAGGCAGTGGGAGGGATCATCCCTATTTAACAGATGAACAAACTGAGGCCCAGGGACTGGGGTCTGTGGTAAGTTAACAGCAGTGCCCAGGGGTCTGGCTCCCAGCCATGCTTGCTTTCCAGTGGAGGRGGGGTCAGACAAGAGACACCCCTGGGTTTGGTTGAATCCAGCTCTGCTCCTCATGAACAGCTAGCTGTACTTCTCTGGGTGGCCTGATTTTTCACGTGTCACATGCTGACAGTGATGGCCTCCCTCAGTGGGGCTCAGATGATTAAATGGGCTGATATTCAGTCCACATCTAAGAGTGAGCGCAAATCAGGGCAGGTGCGGGGCTCCCCTTGCCTGGCCCTCTCATTTCCGCTCCCCACCCCCCATCCCCGCCCCGCTGCAAGTTCCCTGCAGCTCCTCCAGGGCCCACTAGAGGGTGCACTTCCTTCCCAGTCCTGCAGGGCCAGCGGGCGGGGCTGGAGATTCGCTCCGCCCTTGGGGACTAGGCAAGTCACTGTGCCCTAACCAGCACCCCGCTTCCAACACAAGGCCACCCGCACTTACTGAGTAGGATGATCAGTCCCACGACGAAGGCCAGGCCAGCGAAGATCAGGCCCCCGTTCCGGACAGTCTCATAGTCTCAAGAAAGAGAGGGAGTGAGAGGCGACATGGGGGATGGGTCATCTCCCCGCGGGCCCCCCCCCCCCAGCAGCAGCCCCGTGGTGACTGGGGGCCGTCAGGAGGGGGATATGACAGAGTCAGAGCTGGGGCCAGTTGCTGGGCCAGGAGGTGGGGGAGGGCAAGGCTCCGGAAGGGCCGGGAGGTGGGGTGGGTGGCCAGGCTTACCATAGTAGAATGGGTMCACGTCCCCCTTGGGGCTGCCACCTGAGGAGAGAGCCAGAGGTGGAATGAGGGGAAGGGAAGTCACAGGTGGTGATTGCAGCCCTCCGCCTCCCAGCCAGCCCCCAGGGTCCAGGGAAACTGGGCAATAGGCCCTGGAAGGAGGAGGCCAGAGGGGGCACCTGCCCTAGGCTGCCTGGGGACCCCAAGAGGGTCCATCCCGGGGGCCTTTCTGCCTCACACCCCAGTAAGGGAAGGCCAAGGAGCTGTTCCCTTGAGAGTCTCCAGCAGGATCTCTTCCCACCAATTGTCCACCACGTGCCCTTAGCAGACCTCTGTGCAATGAACCAATGAATAAAATACAGCCTCYGAGTTCACAGAATAGAAGGAGGAAACTGCGGCCTGGTGGGAGGCTTATGTGAAGTTCCAGGGAAGCTGGAGGCCCAACTGGGGCTTGAYTCCTTTCTAGATTCTGCTTTCCTAYATTACCATCCTCAGGGGTGTGCAAATTTATTTAAAAGACATTAATATAAAGAACTTACAGGTACCAGGCTAAAGTTAGCAGAACATTAACTTATTTACCCTGAGCCACTGATATTTCCCAGTATGATCCACAAGAAGATGCATGCACAGAAAGGGTAAGTAAGCTACTCAGTCACACAGCAAGTAAGGGGCAGAGCTGGGATTTGAACCCAGGAAGGAGGTGGCTGTATCAAGATGCTATGCTTCTTCTCAGAGAACTTTCCAGTCAAAGTTGTCTGGCCTGCCTCTGCCTCCTGTGGATTCCCCAGTCCTGTAACCAGCAGATGTCACAGCTCTGCCCGCCATCCCCCTGAGCTGAGTTCACTTGCCCTTGGACAGCTACAAGGTGGCCAGCCATCCCTGGAGCTGCCCCCTTTCCTGCCCTGTGCCCTGGGCAGAGGTAGCCTGGAGGCCTCCATGAGCCCTGATGTCCCCCGTGGCCAGTCCCTCGGTCAGGAGGGTTCAGGCCAGGAGGGGTTGGTGCCTGGTTGCTCAAGAGGGTCAGAGGTCAAGGTAAGTCTTTGAGCAACCAGGCCCTCAACCCCAGGCAGAAAGCCTTCAAGGTCATCTCCCCAGATTCAGTCCAGGTCTTGTTCAAGGTCACACAGGGAGGTAGTGTCAGAGCCAGCTAGACCCACACTAGGAGTCCCCTTCCCCACACAGGAAACCGCCTCCTCTACCCATGAATGAGCCCCTCCCCCTCCTCTAGGTCTGGCCCAGAACCCGCCTTGGTCAGTAGCTGCCTCTGTTGGGCTCCAGGCCCGAGTCCCCCATCACCTGATGCCTCTGGAGAGTGTGTGCTGAACTTGGGTGACTCTTACCCTAGGAAGGCTGACCCCCAGGTCTGCTTCTTCCCAGAGTACCCTGAGCTCAGACGGCCTAGGAAGATGCACTGGCCAGGATGGCGCTTTCAGAGAGCCAAAGATGGGGACTCATCCCCCTCCAGCTCCACCTACTGCCCCCAGTCCTGCCCTTTGAACCAGTCTTCTTTGGCGTGAAGGCAGGGTCCTCTTTCAAAATGCAAATTTTCTTAGCAAAAAGGCTGGCCCATGGAGGAGGGGGCTACCCTGAGAGGCAGGAGAGGGAAGAGCGGGGTCACCCCTCCAGCGGTGGCCCAAGCAGGGTCACCCGGCTTCACACCCACACAGAAACACTCACCATCGTCCGCCGTTGCCAACACTGCCATTTCCCCAGMCAGCGGGGGCCTGTCCCCACTACCCTTTTCCTGCTGCCTCTGCTTTGGGGAGAACGTCTGCCGTGTGGTGGCCGGGGACGAGGTGGGGGCATTAAACATTAACAGTACCAGGTAATATTTACCCTGGTCACAAGAAAGCTGCAGTGTGGATGGAGGGCTCCCGCTGAGGCTCTGAGGCTCGAGGGGGAGGCTGGGGAGGCTGGCTCAGCTTCCAGCCCTCCCAGAGGAAGTTTCCAGAGAAGGGCCAGGCCAGGCCAGGCCAGCCTTGGTGTTCTTCCACAGCAGGAGGAGCCACAGCTGGGGCGWGGGGGGGAAGGGGAAGTTTCAGACTGCTCAGCTTGCACTGTCCTTGGAGCCCCCCAGCAGTGGCCACCTTCCCAGCCCAAGGACGCCACTGTAGTGGCTGCTGTTTCTCTTTTTTTTTCTTTCTTTTTTTTTTTTTTTTTTTGGTACAAGGGATTAAACCCCGGGGCACTTGACCACGGAGCCACATCTCCACCCCCTTTTTACATTTTATTTTGAGACAGGGTCTCACTGARTTCTTAGAGCCTCCCTGTTGCTGAGGCTGGCTTTGAACTCACAATCCTCCTGCCTCAGCCTCCTGAGCCACTGGGATTACAGTCATGCACCATGGTGCCCAGCAAGATGGCCCCTATTTCTTAGCATCAGGGGTTTCCCRAGTGGGTCCCGGTGCCGCACTCTCCCCTTCCCCTCTAGCCCTCAAGGACTCCCCTGAGCCAACCAGCARCCCCAGCCTTGGACAGCTACAAGGTGGCCAGCCATYGACTGCCGTGGAAGGCCCTGCCCCGTGATATCTTTTCCATCCATTGAGGTTCCTCCGGCGCGCGTGCCTCAGTTGGAAAGGCTCCAGCTGTCCCTGACTGATCGTTCTTTCTCTGCTACGCTGATGCTTCCTTCCTCCACCAAGAAACTCCTGCTCTCAAGCTGTCCCCRTGCCACTTGTCCAGCATGCACTGTCTCCTCCTTCAGGCAGGGCCCTGGCTTATCCCAGAGGCAACACTTTGCTTTATGGTTCACAGAGCGATCTCCTGGCAGGCAGCTCCTTGAGCTCTGCATGCGCCCAATTTTACAGATGAACATGAACCGCGAGGTTGGAGCCTCGCCCAAGGTCACACAGCCCGCAAGGGGAATGGGGAGACGGATGGTCAGTCTTTGGTTTCAGGGGTCAGACGCTTTCCCCACCCCTCCCAGGCTGTCCCCCCATGGCACATGACCTTCTCCCGGGGGCTCGGGGGCTGGGTTCTCCACTCCTGTGAGTTCTGACTGACTGAATCTGCCTCCAAAGAGGCTAATGCACAATGGAAGCCAAAGGGCCGAGGCAGGGGCCAGGGGCCTCCAGGGCCAGTAGAGTCCTTTGAGGGCATGTCCTCCTGGAACAGTGGCCAGGTTCACACCCGGGTCCTCCYTTGGCTCATTGTGGGGCTCCTGTCCACTTGCTTGGCTCTCTGTGACTCGGCTCCTCATCCACACAGTGGGCATGGGCCCCACCACCTAGGGTGGCTTCCAGGCCCAGGTGAGAGCCTGAGGARTAGAGGACCTGTCTCCCAACAAGTGTCACTGCGGTCACTGCTGTGTTTGCATTGGGTGAGAAATGACAGGCTTTAACCTACCGCTTAACATTTGCTGTTGGACACAGAAAAGCCGACACCCTCCACTGCAAATGAGCATGAGCCAGTGAGATGGGGAGAAGGTCATGATCCCGCAGACCCCACTCAGCGCCCTTCTGCTTGCAGAGCCAAGTGACAAGTTCTCATGAGACTATGACCAGAGCTTAGCGAGGGCAGACCACGGGCCAACCTCTTCCCAGGCACTGTCCCCATCGAATGCAAGTTAGCTCTGGTTGTACAGAGAAAGAATCCTTGGTCCCTGTGCCATCCCTGGAGGTGGCCRGGGCAGTGCTGTGACCCCCACTTGGCAGACCAGTTACCTCAGTGGATTTTGTTTATTTTTGTAAGCCATTGTGGATTTATTCTGGAATAATAAGGGATGAAAAAAAAATAGGTAGAAATTTTAACAGATGATTGACAGACAGACAGGCAGACAGAGTCGCGGAGCAGGCTGGTTGACAGATGCATTTCGGAACTCCTCCAGGCACTGTTCCAAACACTTTATGGAAATTTACTCCTTAATCGGGGCTCTGCTGTCTAAGGTAGAGAAGGCCTTGTTTTCTGGAGGCAGACCCTGAGACAGGAGTTCAGTGACTCTCTGGAGGGCARGAAGCTGGGATGGGGGGTGKGKGGGGGGGRAGACCAAGATCTGAAGTCAGCCATCTGGCTTCTGGGTTCCTGCACTGGTGGATGGACAGACAGACAGCCTGAGGAGGAGGCAGCTGGACCAGACATTTTTCCAGCTCCGTGGCTCAGAGACGCTCTGTCCACACCACAGCAGACCCAGGACTCTGCACCCGGGTGCCTCTGTTTGGATATTGTCTCTCTCCTCACCTCTGCATTTCTTGTGCCTCCGGGGAGCTGCCTGGGGCWCTTGAGTGATGGGGTGGCCTCCAAGTCAGAGCCTGAGGCCACAGGGAGGGACAGGGCTTGGGGCACTCACCTGGGTACCACCTGTCCATGGCAGGAGCGGCGGGCTGTGGTCAAGGATGCAGGAGAGCCGTGAAGTGCTGCGTCCTGGGGTCTGGATGGGAGGAGTGGCCTCCTCCCTCCCCTGCGTCACCTGAGCCCACAGACAGGAAGAAAGGAGGCAGGAGGAGGGGCTGCCAAGGGAGCGCTCACCTTGTGCTCACCTGTCTGGGCAGGTTGGGGCACGGGATCCACGTGGGCTGGGGGAGATTCTCTGATTTCCACCTGGCGTGAGGAGGGTCAGCTGTGAGCGCCAGCAACGCCCACCTCAGCCCCACACTGCTCCTTTGTCCCGGGATCGTGATGGCACAGCTCTCCAGGAGGACACTGGCCAGTGCTGCTCTGGCCCTGGTCCTCAAGGGCATGTGTGGGTCCCCTGAGCCTTTCTGGGGTGGGCAGGATGAGCGGCATCTTTATCCTCTGACCCTATTGGCCTTTGCCCTGATATCTCTCGCCTCCAGGTCTCATTTTGTTGCTAAGAAGCTCCTGAGACTGGATGGATTGGCAGCAGGCCCCGGGAAGTGCCCCTGATGAGGCCGGGATGGTTTGCACTTGGTCCTGGGGGTGGAGGCAGTGCCGCCTCCTGGGCCGTTAGTTGGGCAGAGAGTGGGAAACAGCTGGGGCCAGAGCTGCCCTTCCTCCACTGGGCTCCTCGCCCAGCCCCAGGGCCTGGCGATGTGGTGTCAGGTTGGGGTCTCAGACCTGCCACCACACCTCAGAGGACTCCTCCA